CAATGGGAAGTCTGCAGAGAAAACCAAGTTTTTAATTCTTCAAAGTTGAAATCAAATAACTGTTCAATGTCAGATCTTAAATATCTCACATGCTGTAAGGGTACAGAGGCAGAAGGTTTACCAGAAGGATCTTATAGTATAAAATTTTTAGAAAAAGTGATTCCTTTGGAGTATGCAAGGAAGTAGAAAGAAAAGGAGATGTAATATGTTCCATAAGAATCAGAATTTTAAGATTTTACTTTTCTAAATCAAAGGTGAATTTCAACAAAAAAATAATAATACACGTGTGTGAACATAAATCACTAGCTGAATTTTTTGCAGTCTCTGGTATCTATTTCCATGATTTTCATATTCAAGAAAAATTAGAATACAGTTTTTAGAAAAAGCTTTAACAGAATGGAGATATAAACACTAGTCCCTACCTATATAGACAAGATTAGAATGACAACAAATAGAAAGTAAAACAGTAAAAAGTTTGCTTCAAAAAAAATAATTCTGACCAACACTTCACACAAAGATAATCACCAACTGGGGATGCGGCCTAGATGTAAAAGATCACATTATAAGAAAATCTGAAACACATGGGAAAAAATTACCTATCAGATCTAGGGATAAGCCTAAAAGAAGATAAAATGGATAATTTTGATTACATAAAACTGAATCAATTTTCCACAAATTTAACAAAGACTAAAGGGAAACAAATGGGAAAAATCTCTGCATGTTTCTGTGATACATTTCCAAAATTTATGAGGAAATGATTCAAACTTTTAAAAATAAGAGCTATTCCCCAATTGATAGTCTAAGGATATGAACAGGCAGTCCAAGGAAGAAATCCAATGTGATATTAATATTTGATATACTACTCTACTTCATTAAGGCTTATTCAAATTACTATTCTCCCTCATTATATGTGTTTAAATTCCTTGAGACTATAATTTTAGTTCCCTATTTTGCCCTTATAAGTCACCCATTACCCACTGTTAGGAGCTTACTTAAAAGGTCAAATGTATTCCGTGAAACACAGATGCCAGATATTCCAGGAAGTAGCTGCTGTTTCCTGGGGCTGTGCAAAATCCCCATTCTCTGATACTACCCAATTATAACGATAATGCCCACAGTATATAAATTGTGCCCCTTTCTTTGCCCCTTCCAGGTTCCTCTTTTATGACTATAAAAGAAGTGCCTTGACTGTCAGGAGGGGTCCTTGATTACTGAAAAGCCTTGGGCCCCATTTACTGGCAAATGCTCATTTTGCTAATAAACTAATTGTTTTTATTTGCAGATTTCAATCACAACACAAGAATGCTTATAAGCAGCTTTTTTCTGTGGTAGCAAAGAACTAGAAACTAAGGGAGTGCTCATCAATTGGGTAATGGCTGAAGAAGTTGTAGAATATGAATGTAATGAAATACTATTGTCCCTTAAAAATGATGAAAGAGAAGGCTGCAGAGAAATCTGAGAAGACATATGAACTGATGAAGAGTAAAATGAGAACTTATAAAGTAACAAATAATGCTGTAAAGAAAAAAATCACTCTTATTCACTTCAAAAGATTTAAGAATTGAATTCAATGGAATGAAGAACTCTGATTCCAAAGGACATAAGAGGAAGCATGTTACTTCCTGACAGAATATATTAAAATCAAAATACAGAATGAGACATGCATTTTCAGACATGGCCCATAAGGGAATTTGTTTTGCATATGTTAGAGGGATGCAGTTTTTCTTTTTTTTTTCCAAACCCTTTCTTTTTTTTTAATTTAGGAGAGAGTGGAGGCCTAGCAATAAGGTGTAAGAAAATTAAAAAAAAATGATCAGTAAATTTTTAAATAAAATGCCCAGAAGATCAGAGGGTAACAAACAGGACAGCTTTTAAAATAATTTTATTATATATTTGAAAAACAAATTGTACAAAATAGATTCAGTTTCATGTACAACTCTCTTCTTCTGTCCTACTTTGTACTTGGAAACGTTCATACTTTGTGTTTAAGTCCAACAAAAAAAAAGGTAAAAACAAGACTCTAAGTCAAAAGCCACTGCTGAATTTCATGAATCTTTTCAACACTATTATGCCAATGAAATCACTGAAATAGACCAGACACTCTCTATCCAAAACACAGTGATGCCTAGAAGTGAAATTCACTGTTTATTAGGTGGTGAAGCATAGGCTAAACGGTCACTTTTCAAGATGTGGTAGAGGAAATGTAATCACTGGGTAGAGGACTAGACATGGATTGTTGGGCATCTCTAACTGTAGGTATCTTAAATTCAATATAACCAAAACAGAATTTTCAATTTCTGTAGAGGTTACCAGGTTACTTCTAGTAACCCATGTTTACCATTTAAGAGAAACCTTCTACTGTTCACTCTCACTCTCTCCCCATAGCCTAAAAGTTGTTAAATCTTGTCAATTCTCCCACCACATCTCTTGCACCCATCCCTTTTCCACACTCATATTGCCAGCACCACAGTTCAGAGATCTTCCTGCCTCTTGCTTATACACTTGCAACAATCTCAAATCCCTGTCCCTCTCAAACCTGCCAAACAGCAGGGAAAATAAAATATGGTCAGGAATGTTCAGAAGCTCTCAATTGCTGATACAAACTACTCTGTTAGGAATTTAAAAACTCTTCACAATCTAGCTCCAGCCTACCTTTCCTAGTGTATTTCACATTATTCCCCCTCAGGTACTATCCAGCCAAAGGGGCCTACCTGTTTCATGAACTCATCATTCCATCTCCTATTTTGCCTAAGTTATCAATTCCCTTTTCCAAATCCATCTATTGAGACTCTTTACTTTCCTCTGAAGATCAATTTGTGTGACACCTCCTACGAGAAGCTTTTATTGTGTTTCTCTCTCTTCACATCTAATACTGTACTTTTCTGACACTGGCCTCATCATTTCATACCTGGACTACTGAAATGGCCTAGTGGGTGTCCTCCCTGACTCATGTCTCTCCTCGCCATAGTCCATCCTCTACTTAGATGTCAAACTGATCTTCCTAAAGTGAAGATTTGTTCATATAATCCCCATCCAATAAATGATGCCTATTACCTTTAAGATCAAATATAAAATCCTGTCATTCAAAGCCCTTTATAATCTGGCCCCTTTCTACCTTTCCAGTCTTCTCACACCTTACTCCCCTCCAAATATTCTACAATCCAATGACAGGAGCTTCCTTGCTGTTCGCTGTTCGTCACACAGGACACTCCCTCTTCTGACTGGACATTATCTCTGGCTGTACCCTCATCTCACCACCTACTTCCTTCACGTATCAGCTAAAATTCCACCGTTTACAAGAAGCCTTTTCTGATTGCCTAAATAACAATGCATCCACAGTTTTGGTTATTTTCAATTTACTGAGAATATATCTTGTTTATACACAATAGTTTGCAAGAGGTCTCATCCATTAAATTGTCAATTCCTTGAGGGCAGGGACCAGTTCCTTTCAGAATCTCCATTTTAAGGAGGCTCTCTAAACCAGTCTTACCTTTATTCCTCTACAGGCGGCACTGGTGGCTCTCTGCCAAACTCTACAGCTTTTCATTTTCTCCCTCCACCTCTCACTTTTCAGCTTCCTTTGGGGTCATCCCCATCACTCCTATTAAAATGTAAGCTCCTAGAGGACAGGGAATGTCTTTCTCCTCTGTATTGGTATTCCCAGTGTTTTTGCACGGTGCCAGGCACATAGTTATACCTTTTGACTTTCTTTGTATCCCCAGTGCTTAGCACTGAGGTCCCCACCAAGTTGGTGCTTAGTAAATAATAACAGGCTGTATCCTCCGAAAATATATAAATTCCTAGAGGAATAAACTTTTCGTTTGGCCTTTGAATCCCTAGCTCCCATCACAGTGCCTAGGGCATTTTTTTCTGCTCAGAACCATAGATTTCTTTATTAGAAGAGAGTTAGTTCCTAGGACTTGCTAATGCACATTAGCAACTGTTCAGCAATGTAAAGTCTCAGAGAGAAGCAGGGATACTGAGAGATGAAGTGACTTGCAGTGCCTGGGGAAGAACCTTAACTTCCAGCCGCCATACCAGCTCTGCAGGGGGACAAATCCTGCCTTCCCCAGTTTTGTGAGGAGCTAATAACAGTTTTTACCTTTTAAAACATAATAAAATTTTATTTTAAAATGTAAAAGCCATTCTTGGCTTGCCAGTACAAAAACTGGCGCTAGTGGTGGTATGTGATGTTTGAGAGACTCTGGTATCTCTGCCATGCTCTCAGCCCCAACCACAGCAGGCGCTTAATGACTGCAGGCGTGGACTGGGTGACCTCTAAGGTCCCTCATAACCCCAATATTCTATGATTACAATTATTTGTTAGAGTCACGAGGAAATAACACTAAAAGCTTGTCCAAGGGACAGGGAGTGTTCTCCTTGGCGCTGGTTTCGCCAGCCGATCCAAACCCACGGCCAACCAGTCTGCCCCATGGTCCGAGGAGGAGAATATCGAAGTTGTTACTGGAAGAGACTCCTTCGTTTACTTCCGTGCCACCACTCACACTGTGGGGTCTCGGGGCTCCCTTGGCAAACCTGCCTAGCCTCTACAGCAGCAGCACCAGGAAGAGGGCAGAAAACACAAAACAACAAAGCTCTCACCCCCATTTCACCTTTTACGGACCCAATCCTGCCCCAAAAGAAGAGATAAAGCAAACACACAGGTACACCCTCGAGTGTCTCCATCAACATACAATGCATGCCCAGATGTGTGCGTGCACTCCCACCCACGAGGGGGGTGGGGGCCACGGGAGGCCTGGCCCCTCCCCCCACATCCCCCCCCGAGACTCCGGGCTTGCGCCCCCGGCCTCTCCCCACAAAGAGCGGGACGAGGAGGGGGCGGTGCGCTCGGGGCGCCCCTCCAGGCCCGAGGCTCGACCCGGGATCGGCTCGGGGCAGGGGCTCTGCCGGGCCGGGCCAACCCCGCCTCCAGGATCCGAGAAGGACGTGGCCCCTTCCCGTGCCTCCTCAACTTCCACCGCTGCCCATCCCGGGCTTACCCGCAAATCCTCAAAATCGGCCATTTTCTACCACCAGCAGGCGCAGGCGAAGCCGCCGCCGCCGCCGCCCTCGCCGCCGCCGCCGCTCCTCCCGCCGCCGCCGCTCCTCCCGCAGCCTCTACAGTAGCCGCTGCCGCCACCACCATGGTGCACTGGGCGCCGCGAACGACGCGCCGCCGCCACCGCCGCCGCTGTTGCCGCCGCTGCCGCCAGGCCCCCGTCACGTGACGGGAGCCGGCACCGCCCCTCCAGGAACCCCGCCCCCTGCCCCTCCCCGCGCGCACCCTCCCTCGGGTTCTCCTCGGCTCGCGTCGTGCCTCGCGGCTCTTCCTCCTCCGCAGCCCCCGAACTCCGCCGCACTCCCTTCCCCTCCTCTCCCGGCCGGTCCCCTCGACGCTGCTCTTCTCCCCGTTTTCTTCCTTTTCCTTCTCCCTTCGGCTTCTCTCCTCCTTGCCGCGGTCTCATCTGACTCTCTCGTCCCCCTCCCAAGACTCTGCCTGTCCCCCCTTCCTCTCCTACCCCTTTTCACTCTGAATCATCCTTGCCCTTCTCTCCTTTTCTTGCCTCTTTCCCTCTCCCTTCTTTCTTGCTGCCTCCGGGACGGTCCAGCAGGATTAGATGCTCTTCCCTCTCGCAGAAGTGGGCGGGATGCACGGGAGGAGAGTCGCACCCTGGAGTCTGGAGGCCGGGGGAGATGCTGAGGCTCCCGGGCTGCTGTGGGGAGGGGATGAACTCGACCCTGGAAAGTCCGTGCCTGGAGGAATTGTCAGTAATGAACTTGGGGACCTATTGGATTCCGGATGTAGCCCGAAAACCCCTGCCCATCAAAGCCAACTCCTTCAGAAACTGCTTGGGTCAGTGTCATGTAAATGTGGGGTATTAATTCAACTGCTGTTCAACCTACTTTGTGCTTGCCACGGGAAAAAAACGAAGATTTTTTTTTTAACTTGCAAATTCTCCTGTGCTGAGTGCTATCAAAGATATGTTGATTTAACCAGAATGGCTTTCTTAGTTCTGGGAACTGGCCTAGTCTCACATTGGCATCTAAATAACAATTATTTTCCTTAGGTATGGGATCGTAGCTTTGGTGCTGGAGAGGACCTTAAAGGTCATTGGAGTGTAATCTCAGTTTACAGATAAAGAAACTGACGCACAACAAGGTTAAGGAATTTGTCCAATGTCAGCTAATAAATGATATTCCTTTTGAAAGTATTTTTTCATCAGCACTGGCACTATGTGATGATGACCAAATGCCCCATGAAATGATGTTTGATGTTTTTTTGGACACAGGACAAAACCAACTGCATCAGCTTCTTTATCTGCCTTTTCGGTTAGTCTATAATCAAACATTTATTAAGCTCCTACTATGTGCCTCACATTGTACAAAGCACTGGGATACAAGGAAAAAAAATCCATCTCTGCTTTCAAGGAACTCACAGTCTGAAGGGGAAGACTGCAAACAAGTATGTACAAAACTGGTGTAGACAGGGTAAACAGGAGATAATGTCAGAGGGACAGATCTAAGATTAAGGAGGAGTTGGAAAAGGCTTCTTATAGAAGGTGAAGCTTTAGCTGAGAGTTCAGGGAAGCCAGGAGATGGAGTTGAGGAAGAGACTCCCAGGAATGGGGTGTGCCCATTCATTGGCCATCACTAGTGAAAATGCTGGAAGTCTGGAGATGGGGCATCTCCTGTGAGGAACAAAGTCACTGGATCACAGAGTAAGAGGAGGGACAGTTGTCAGGTATAATAATGATGATGATGATGATAAATAGCTGCCATTTATATGGTGTTTTAAAGTTTGCAAAGTGCTTTAAGAATACTTCAGTTTATCTTCATAACAACCCTGAGATGTATGTTATTATTATCCTCATTTTACAGATGAGGAAACTGAGGCAAATAGAAGGTAAGTGGCATGCCTAGAGTCACACAACTAGTTAAATATCTGAGGTCTAATTTGAACTCTGCTCTTCCTGACTCCAAGTCCCGTGCTGTATCAACTTCACAAGCTAGCTATGTAAGAAGACTAGAAAGGTAGGAATGGGTCAGAATATGGAGGGCTTTAAAAAGCCAGAGCCAGGATTTTATATTTGATCCTGGAGGCAATAGGGGAGCCACTGGAGTTAATTGAACAGGAGATTAATCTTCAAACTTGTACTTTAGGAAGATCAATTATTTGAATGGAAATCAGGGAGACCAACCAGCAGGCTATTACAATAGTCCAGGTGTGAAATGAGGAGGAGTGAAATGAAGTCAGAAGAGAGAAGGGGGTATATATGAAAGATGTTAAAAAGACAGAAATAACAGATCTTGACAACTGACTTGATAGGGGTGGAGGATAAGTGAGGAATTGAGAATGATCCCTAGATTGTAAGCCTAGATGGCTGAGAGGATGGTGTGAGCTAATATTTATAAAGTGCTTAGCACAGTGCCTGGCACACAGTATGTAGGGGCTTGGTAAATGCTTCTTCCCATTCCTTTCTCCCTTCAACAGTGATGGGGACTAGTTAGGAAGACAGAAGGGTTTGGATGGAAAGATGAGTTCAGTTTGGAACATTCATTTTATGAGACATTCAGTTCGAAATCTCCAAAAAGCAGTTGGAGTTTTTCTCTAAAAAGAGCCTCCAAGTCATCACTTAGCAACCTCTTTTCCTTTAGAATTCTCACTATCCAAATTTATCACCCAATCCAAACTAACACGAAGGACATTCTCCCTCCTTTCTCAATGAATTTACTGCCTGACTCATAGTCTCCCTCTACATCCCAACTCCAGCCTTCATCATGGGGGACTTCAACATATGTTAATATTTCCTCAAATACCTTTTCAGATCTTCCATCTATTCAACTCCCATAACTATTCCACTCCACTTCAGCTACACAAAGGCAAGCTCTTACCCCTTGATCTTGCAGTCACTCACCCACAGCTATTTCATGTTTAAGAACCCCAAAATTCTTTTATTGGAATAATAATTATCTTTCATTATCATATCCCTCCCTATACTTGACTATTCTTCTGTTATAATAATATTCTTCTTCCTCACCATGCTATCCAATCTCTGTACCCCTCATAAACTATTTATTTAGCCCTAATCCCTCTCTTGACTTCAACTCTCTCATCTCCAACTGTCTATTGGACATCTTGAAATGGATATTTCATTGACATCTTAAACTCAATGAGTCCAAAACTGAATCATCTTTCCTTTCAAACTCTCTCTTCTTGTTAACTTCCCTATTACTGTGGAAGATACCACTAATATCCTAGTCACCTAGGCTTGCAACCTAAGTGTTGTTCTCCATTCCTCACTCTTTCTGACTCTTCGTATCCAACCAATTGCCAAGTCCTTGTACTTTCATAACATCCCTCCCATACGTCTCTTTCCTCTGACACTGCAACTACTGTGGTATAGGCCTTCATCTCTTCATTGGACTTAGACCAATGCAACAGTCTTCTGGTTGGTCTTGTTGCCCAAGTCTCTCCCCACCCTAGTCCATCCTTTACTCAGCTATCAAACTGATCTTCCTTAAAGTAAAGGTCTGAACATGTAATCAATCCCTTCATTCTACCTACCCACCCCCATTCAATAAACTCACCTCCAAGATCAAATATAAAATTCTGTGCTTAATTTTTAATGCCCTTCACAACCTGGCCCCTTCCTATGTTTCCAGCCTTCTTATACCTTACTCTTTACCACTATTCTGTGATATAGTGACACAGGACTCCTTGCTTTCTTACTCATGATACTCCATCCCAACTCCTCTGGACATTTTCACTGGCTGTCCTTTATTCCTAGGATTTTCTCTGTTCTTGTCTTCACCTCCAGGCTTCCCTGACTTCTTTTAGGTCCCAGCTAAATGCCCCCCTTCTAAATCTTTCCCAATCCTCTTTAACCTGAGGATTATCCCTCTGAGATTATCTCCAATTTATCTTGTCTATATCTTGTTTGTATATAGTGGTTTGTCTCTTCCCTTAAACTATGTAAGCTCCTTGGGAGTAGGGATTGGTGTTCTGGTTTTTTTCCTTTCTATACATCCTTGGTGCTTGGCATGGTGGTAGGCACTTCATAAATGCTTATTGTTGACTTCATTTGACTGTTCCAGGCAATCACCACTACTCTGGTTACATTATGACCTCCCTTCCCATTCCTCCCCTTTGATGAACCAATTTGACACCACACTATCTTCTCTCTCAAATCTTTTGTTTCCTTGTCCTTTGTCAGTCATGCCTTGCCAAACTCCAACTCTATATTACTCCTAACCGACTTCTTCATTCTTACTCACATGTTGTTAGACAGAGCTGAGCAAAGAAATGCTGCTGACTAAATCCACTACTAATTTATGTAATCTAATCCCAACTGAGGGACAGCTAAGGTGAATAGAGTGTCTGGCCTTGAGTCAGGAAGACTCATCTCTCTAAATTCAAATCCAGCCTTGGACCCTTACTAGCTATGTGACCTTGGGTAAGTCACTGAAGCCTGTTTGCCTCAGTTTCCTCATTGGCAAAATGAGCTGAAGAAGGAAATGGCAAACCACTCCAATATCTTTGCCAAGAAGACCCCAAATAGGGTCACAAACAGTCAGATATAATTGAAAAATGACTCAAAAACAGCAATCCCAACTGAGCCCTTACTGTAATAACACAATCCTTTTGCTCTTCTTGAATCAATTCTGCTAATCACCACAGCAACTATTCCAAACCTTCTCTTATCTCCTCAAACCTCTCACAGCATGCTCTCCATCCTCCCTCTCAGCTAAGGACCTCTCATACTTCACAAAAAAAATCCAGGCCATTCCTAGTGAGTTCCCTTCCCAGGCCCCCTTTTCACCTCACAACATCCCTAACTATTTCCTTCTTCACTTTAGTCTCAAATGAAGAGACAGCCTTTCTCCTTCTCAAGGTCAACCCCTCTACATGTAGCCATGATTCCATCTCCTCGTCTTCTCCAGAACATTGCACGTAATACCATCATTCCCCTCTAATCTTAAATCTTTACTGATTATTCCCCTGGCTGCCTACAAACATGCTCAAGTCTCCCCTATCCTTAAAAAAAAAAGTAAAAAACCCTAACTAGATCCTGCTATCCCTGCTAACTATAGTCCTGTAACTCTCCTCCCCTCCTCATTTTTTTTGAAAAAGCTGTCTATATTTGGTGCTTTGATCTCCCGTTCCTCTCACCTTCTTCTAAACCCTCT